CTGGGGGGTGCTGGCGCACACACACACACACACACACACACACACACACACACACACACACACGTCCTTTCAGTCCACAGCTAGCTCCCTGTCCACTTTCTATGCCTATTACATGCTGGTTGGACCTCTTGGCAACTTTTAAGTGTAAGCAAATCAACCTCTTGTTCATATATCCTTCCTAGTGGTTGAGTCCTGCTCTGGCTTCTGAAGTGCCACAGAGACCCTCTGCTTGAACCCCTCCCCTTTAGGAGGTTTGATGACCCCTTCTAGAAGCTTCTAAGGGGCAGTTCACATGGCCCTACCTAGGTCACACAGTCCCTGAAGTCTTTATCAGTCAGTCCCTGCCCTGTTCCTTCCCCCTAAGTGAAGCCTTGAAGGACTTGCCTAAGTCTAGAGGCGAGGAAACACTCCAGTGTAACCTCCTGAAACTGCCATAGTGCCCATAGTCCTCTCTGATGACACTCTAGGCCACCAGGGACATTCGCCAGCTGGTGCCTCAGCAGTGCTGAGTCCCCCCACCCCACCCACCCACCCACAAACAGCAACAGCCTAATCTTTCACATCAACCACGTCCACCTTGCCTGGAAGGAAGACTATAGGTGCCCTTCAACCCCAGGCAAAGTAGAGGTTCCTGTGTGGGATGGACAGCGGCTCAGCCTCCTCCACGGGCACCAGGCATCTACAGCTGCTCTTCCAGCATTCTGATGGGTGTGGCATGTAGAGTACAATGCAAAGTGAGGGAAGTGTGCAGTGTGAGGTGTGACCGTGCAACATGCTACGGTATGCAGTAAGCAGGGGAGACGTGGTGTGAGGTATGCGGTACACAGCACAGTGGCCACCGTGCCAAGCCCATGCCGCTGGGCTTGAGTGAGTTGGTTGAATCTTTGTATGATGGGAAGTCTACTCAGCACCTCGCACAGGACAAGGACCACTAATGCTGGCTGAGAAGCCATGAAGGCTGTGTCACTGTCAGCCTCACCTGGAACATGCCTGCCACCAGGTAAAGCACCAGGAAGATCTTGCTGCTTGTCACTGACTGGCCTTCCACCAGGCAGATGAGGAAGAAGAAAATCAGATGTCCTGGGATCACCAGAAAGAGCAGGACTCGAGCTGATACGGAGTTGATTTCTAGATAGGATGGAATCAAGAGCGTCATAAACCTACCTGCTTGCAGAGGCCACCTGGCAAAGGGAGAGTCCCCAATGAGGCCCCCAAGCTCCTTCACCTCTAGACACCTATGGCGTGGCACACTCTGTTAAGTGGGAACTCAGTCCTGACCTCCCCTTCCTTCAAGGGGCTGACATTTGAGGGAACAGCGGAGAATCATGTAGTTGGCTACACACAGAAGGCAGGTCATTGCATTTCACGTGGCAGGAAATATTTTTTTTTTTTAAAAGAAAAGCTTAGACTATGAAGTGTGTACAAGTGGAGACAGCTCCCAGGGTTCTAAAGACCCCTGTGGGGAGGGGGGACAGGCTGAGGCCCCACACTGGAGGGGCAGATAGACTGTGCCAGGGGCCTAAGGTGGACGAGCAACTGGGGCAA